ATTAAAGATGGAAACGTTCATCAGTTTACATTGTCTGCACCAAGATAGGACTCCTCAGAGTTGCAAGTAATTGTTCAGAGTGAGTTTTGCAGCAATCTGCAGCTGTTTCTTCAGTTTGAGTGATATCAGGTAGGGACAGCTGTAGCTGTAGTTATGTATGGGGTTGGGATTCCTTAGAGGTGTGACAAAGTCTAACAAAATGATTGTCACTTTGGCTTAGGGATTCTTTCACTTCAAAATGGTCACATTGAAAGTAATAAGCAAAACAGTAGAGAAAACCGGTCAACATAGCACTCAGCTAGAATATTTTTTACTGCTTGTATTAATTACCCCATGATCAGATAGCTCTGTGATTTAATTTACATTCCTAAAAAACACCATTAAGGCAGCTTGACTAACTTAATTCATTCTCTCTGCTTTCACACACAGATCAACTTGACATCATTTCAATGGCTGAAACAACAATGATGCCTGAGGAAATTGAGCTTGAGATGGCAAAGATCCAGAGACTTCGGGAAGTCTTAGTCAGAAGAGAATCAGAACTCAGGTTTATGTAAGTATCAATACTTCTGGGAAAACACTATGCAAAATTAATCAAAATAGGAAGGAGTGCTATTTAGAAGACTTTTATCTCCTTGACATTTAAAAGGGAGAAAGATAAAGAGCATCCCAGTTAGGTGAGCACTTGCAAAATGCCTTTGGGAAATGATTTTTGTAGTTGCAAAGGAAATTACTTTTTTTATTCAGCACGATTTGCAGATCTATTACTTACAAAAGGAACCTTTAGCAAAGTATGTGTCTGGAGAGAATATTTTCATGCCTGATTTCAATCCTTTGTGGGAAGGATATTTGTCTGAACAAAATATCAACAGGTAGGGGATTTGGACCTTCCACAGTGTAACCTAATTCAGGCTTTATTCCTCACTTCATTAGTGGTCTTAGACAGTTCATATTGCAAGAGAGCACACTGTGTGCTGCACTAATAGCAGCCAAGGTTTGACATTTGTTAAATGGAAGGCATTAAGTTATGAACACAAAACACATTGTGATATATCAAATTAAATAGCAATACTCCAAGAGAGATTCTCAAAACTGCCAAAAAGGTCAGGAATAGGATCCTCACTGAAGGTTCAAGAATATAAATTCAGTTCTGATGATGAAGCCAGTAGGTTTATATACCTAAATAATTGAATTTAGAAGATTAGAACTGACTTATTAATAAGAAGTATATTATTTTGAAGTCTCCTCTGTCTGTGAGTATTTGAGGTCAGAAACTAATGCCTTTGCTGACAGTCCAAGAACTTCAGTGGATCTAAAACCTGCTGAACTCAGACCTTTGGTGTTAATGAAGCTTCAGTAGTCTGAAAAAATTCAGTTGCTCTTTTGTCACGCTAAAGTACAAAGTACTTTGTCTCTTACATCTGGAGGTTAATTTTAGTGCCCTGACTTGCACTGCTGGAAGTTGAAACCACACCCACAAACAGCACAGACATCTGTCTTTGAGTATTATCCAGAAGACTTCTGCCCAGAATCACTGCTTAGACAGCTTTGGAGATAAGGACTGGTAATAGTGGCATTGACCTTTAATAATGCTGAAGTGGTATAAATAAAGTAAACAGGAAAGGTTTTGTCACACCTGCTCCTGGTAGTCAAATAACTACTTAGTTATTGGCTTGTACATAAATTTAATCCAGAAGAAGCCTCATCATTGACCCTGCACTTCTCCTGACATTTTCTATGTCAAACAAAGTGCTGAAATAAACTGTCCCAGTGAATGAGAGCGATTGTTCTGTTTGTTCTGGTATCCAGTCTGTTCTTTTCATTTCCCCATGCTCCCACTCTTTACTCTGTATTGCCTAGCAGGTGTTTGAGTAAGGGATTTAACACAGAAGAGATTGCTTATTGAAAGGGGAATAGAACCGACGTTCATACTGTGCAACAGTTCCCTTCCTGCCTTAAGTCTCCTCCTAACACACTGCCTGGAGCTGCCCAGGAGCATTCCCAGCCGTTCACTGGCTGAGGCAGGAAAGCTCTTCTGAGCATCAGAGGCCCCACAAGGCTTGGCCCCAGGTACTGGCAAAGCAGGCAAGGGACAGGGGCAGCCACTGCCAGAGATGGCCCCAGTCTGTCCTTTCTAAGTCACAGAAAGTCAAGGTTGTTGCTGCCATCACTGTCTTCAGCAAGAGGGAGCGAGGTCTGTGACACTGCCACAGACCCTCTCATTCCCGCAGCTGCAGCGAGCCAAGATGACCACTTTTGCAGGGATATTCACACAGCTTTCAAGCCCAGCTGCTCCCTGCTCTGTGGCAGAACATCCTGATACTGCTCATTAATCCTTGAGGTAGTTAAATTCAGTTTGTTAATGCCACCAAATGAAGTGGTGAGATAGCATCTGTCTCTGCACTGGGACTCTACCTGCAAACCAGGACTTCACTGGTCATGAGTTTTCCCACCCTGTGTAGGCTTCCCATCTTTCTGCACCCATTTACAACAGCCAAGTTCTTCATATTGGTTCATCAAGTCTGAAAGTAAAAGCAGCCTCTCTCGCTAACAAAGACTTTCAGAATTAGAACATGCTTCCCTTAATAGCTTTTAGGAGTCAAAAAAATAGTCTATTTGACTTTATCTGATTTTTGAAAATGTTTTTGCGATTTATTCCTGACAAGAGAGAAGCATGTTGCTGATGGTACCTAAGCAATACAGCAGCACCTATTCTTTCCTGCCTTTCATGCTGGACAATTTACACTGACAGAGGGACTTGGCTGCATTTGTCTTCAATGACAAACATCTTTTAATACCAAATGTATTTTAGTGACTTCTTGCTGAGATTAACAGCACAAGTCATGGTTACCTCAGTGGTCCAAGATTTGTATCTGTTTAACTAAGCAAATTACATACATTCTAATACATAGACATGTCGTGGAAGACTTTATATGTGGCCATATTTTTTTTTCCAGTTGATTCCTGAAGTAATGCAATACCACTGCCCCAAGACCAGAAGTCTGTATGTAGGTCATGAATTTTAGTAATTGATTTCTTCTGACAGGACTAGATTCTCCTGGGAATGACCTATACAACCAACCACAAGAAACTGAGCCGCCTCAGACAGGTTTAAGGCAGACTCGACTTTGAATGCTGCTAACGAGCAGCACTACACCTACGCTCAGGCCACGGAGTTCCAGACCAGCTTTAATGAGAACCACATCTCTTTAGTTCTTGCAACTGCTTTAGCTTTTTCTTCAATCATGAAAAAAGGGATAAAACACACACATGGTAATAGAGAAAAATGTGTGGTATGTTTGTATTCTCCTTTTTTTCCCCTCATGCTGTTAGCAACAGAATAGAAATTCTCTTGAGTTAAACTAGGCATTTTTGAGTTCTTATAAAAGCATGGACACAATGAAATAATTCTGTATCACACATCCAGCCACGGCTTACATTTCTAGCTACATTTTTTGAAGTAATGGTTCATTCTTCTCACTGTCTGTCTGTATGACTGATCTTTTTATTCACATGTAGTCAAATCCTGCTTCTCCTGGGAGAAAGTACATTGTAGCTGTGCTCGGAATGTGTCACCAACCCTAACAGTGGCCATGGCTCCCTCCTGTCAGAGGCACACACAGCCTGTCAGCAATACTTACACACACCAGCAACTACCACAACTCTTCACGGCACAGACACTGTGTTTAAAAATACTCACACTCAACACTAAGAAAACAAAACACTGCAAGCTAGACATGCTGCTGCTGGAAATCAGCAAGCTCTTCCCGTGTCGGAGTGATGCAGGTTCAATCCATGAAAGGAACATGCTCTAAGGCTGCTAATTGAATTTACTGTTTTCCTTGAAGAAGATGCACAAAGAAGATCAAGATGGGATAATAATAAAACTCACTGGTACTGATGTTTAAAACAGCTCTGCAACAACACATCCTTAACTGTTCTGTCAGCATTTTGCCCCAACAAAACACATGTGGCAGAGAACTGCTCCAGGATAGCATATCAGCCAGTAAAAAACCCTAACAAACCTAAATAAAAAAAACCCCTAGCAAGCTCTAGATATTCAGTGGCCCTGGAGTTGGTTTGCAGTTTTCACGCTTCTGTGTGTGAACTAGTAAAACCTATTCCTGCTATGTGAGATCATCGATAATATAGTGTTCTCTCTGGCAGTTCCTCAGCTGTGATCTGTACAGCATGTGTCTCTCTTCAAGTGATACGAATTCTACATGAGGGAGTCCTTAGAAAAACACAGAATTACAGAACAGTTTGAGTTGGAAGGGACCTTTAAAGGCCATCTAGTCCAACACCCTGCAGTGAGCAGGGACGTCTGCATTTAGATCAGGTTGCTCAGAGCCCTGTCCAGCCTGATTAATGAAGTCTGTAGGACAACAAAAGGGATAAAATGAAACCTGTTGCTCGTGCGTCACTCTACAAATGTTACATTACGGCATTCACAGTTGGTGACACTTCAGTATCTAAATAAAATCTTTACTGAACAGTTCATCATCGCTAGAAGAGTCACTCGGTCAGGGTGAAATAAAGAGTGGGATGGTGAAGCAAAAAAAGCCAGATACTTAATCATCATTATTTCAAAGCAAGTTCTAAAGTATTTGAGAATCAGGCAGTGGAATTAAACCTAAGTATAAAAGGATTTAATAGCTTTAGGCTTAAAAAGTGGAACAGAGTAGCATTCAAAAAAACCAGACAAAACTGTATGTAGGGGTTTTTTTCTCACACATATCCAAGCAGGCTCTGTGTCTCTGTGAGCCTGTGTCTGTCAAACATACCATTAATTCAACCAACCCAGATTTTCAGTTTTCAAAAACCAAAGTGAGGAAAATTTCAATTACATTTGAAAAAAAATTCACATACGTTTCTGTAATTGAGTTAAAACATCAAAACTTGGGGTTTTTTTAGTTTCTGAATTTCCCTCCACCTCTTTGCAAGTCATACTGTGAATAAGCAAGTTGCTTTGTTCTGTACTGGATATTAAAATTACTCACGGTCTTTGCTCTGGACCATCAACAGAAAGGTTAATCTCCTCAGGAAGAATTTTTCCACCTTTAGAAAGAGATTTGGACAGTAAGGAACAGTAACTCAGTAATACTGCAGTCAATCACCAGATAAAAATACATCACTTGCCTGCAGTTTTATTATTCTGGCTAAATAAGGGAAAGGGCAGCAAAAATTCTTTTACTAATGGGTACAGTTTATTTTTAAAACTTAGAAGGAGTCCCTCGTAGGGCCCTTCCACTGCAGAGCCACTCAAGGCTGTGCAAACCTCTCACCCTCACGGATGAAAATGAGCCGCACAAAATGGCTGCTCTGCCTGTGGGGCACTGCAGGGACCCTGCCCCTGACACACCCTCCCGCAACAGCTTTGGGCAGTTTTTATCCTGCCTCCCAAACTCTGTGCGCTGCCCTTATTGTCTGCTGGGCTGTGTGGCACAGGGGGCCGTGGGCTGCCAGCTGTGGCCTTCAAAAAAATGTGCTTTTCCAGCAACCACCTCCAGTGCTCCTGGCTCTCGTGGGAGGCCGCAGAGCAATGGTGAGATGGTTCCTGAAGGCCATTATGAAAATGGGGGAATATTTGGACGCAGGGCTGTTAAATGCATGTGTCCTGTAGCTGTTCTTCAATAAAACCACTCACTTGCTCAGATCACCCCAAGTGCAGCACCCAAGAGGGCCACGTACTCCTGTCCAAACCTGACCTCAGCACAGCTCTGAAAATGAAACAATCTGACAGACAGCTGCTGACAGCTTCCAGAAATTGTGTCATTCCTGGCTGGTGAACAACACACACATGTACTAATATCCATCAGAATTATTTTAAAATGCGGAAGATATCTGTTGCAATTTCACCACATCTCTATACCAGGCCCACAAATGATGTGCTGTCCCCAGTCCCACAGAGCGACACATATTGTTTTATAGTGACAGACCAAGAATTCACTGTTGGAGGGGAATACTTGTGTTTACTCTTAGACAAATACAGATATTGCCATAGTCTGCCTACCACTGTAGTAAAAAAAACTTCCTCAAAATACAGAAAAAACAATCTGAGAACACTGGAAACAAGTTTTACCCTGTTTAAAAGTGAAACAGCAAGAAGTGTTAAGGCAGAAATGTCCATGCAGTTTCAATACATGTGATTTTTCTGCTTTGCAGTCCTTTGTACACTCTTTTGTCTCTGCCTTGCAGAGAGAAGTGAAAATCCCTTTCTAGTGCAGTATACATCATGTGAGACCTCATTTCAGTAATAAAAAACTAAAGTGCTTAAAGACAAAGTGTGATCACATAAAGATACATTTAAACAGTGTGACTTTGTGGAACTCTGAAGTGAAACAAAAACATACAGTACAGAAACTCTAATTGACATCTCTGTTTTTCAAATTTGTGATGTTTCTTTATTGCAGAACACAGCTTTTTAATTCTGCTAGGTGGAGCTCAATAAAATTAGATGTGTGACAGCATATTCTTAGCTGTCCTGTGAAATGTTTTGATTTGAAAAGCAAGGGAAGCAGCTGAACTCTTTTATCTGTTTAACAGAATGTTTGCTGTATACCACAGTGAAATGGTTCTTCCTGTAGTGTATACTTTAAAAGAGACCAGCATTCTGATAATTCTTGGTTTTCTTTTTATGGATAAAAAGAAATTTTTATTTCCAGCTGAATACCTGCTTGCTATGAAGATTTACCTGAAGTTTATATGGAAACAATTTTCAGATTATAAAATCAAGCCTTCCTCAATTAGGTAATGGCACAATTTATGTTGCACAATCCATTTTAGCTCAGGCAGCCACAGTCACAGCAGAGCAGATGCCCTGTGATTTGGTCTGTAATTACATTATCAAATCCTATTTTTGTCCTGAGACCCTGCCTCACTTAGTGCCTAGGATGAACCTCCTCAGGACATGTCCATGTTATGTAGAAATTGTGGCTGTTTGTAGCATCTCTACTTCAAAGCTTCTGATTCTATGAAATCTCATAAAATTATGTCAGGAGCTGTTGTGACCATCTCCAGCCAGCCCAGGAAATGAAAATATAGCTTGAAGCCATCATATGCTATCTCCAGCTCTTCTGGGTTTATTTTTAGAATAGCTGAGAAGTCTGCATGTATTGATATGAAGGAGACAATATGTACGGAAAAGCACCAGATTATAGCTTGCCAGGATTCCCCCTCATTTGCTTCTCAGGCTTCTCTCAGCTTATTTCTTAAAATGCTCACTATAAAAAGAGTTTTGGGTCAAACTGTAAGTGTTCAATCTGTCTGTGCTGTTAAAGAAAGCAAACATACCACTTCAGAACATGCACACTCTATCCTCCTTCCTAATTCTCCTGTCCCACTTCCTTTTTTTTTTCTCTTTCTTGGTGAGATAACAGATCCAAAAGCTCAGGCAGCATCCTCTTTGTTGCACATTTAATGTGTTACTGCTATGGATGTGTGTGTCTTCAGAAGCAGTGTAGGATTCACATCACTGGGGGCATGGAAATCTGCTGTGCTGAAAGACATGATTGTAAAAATGGATAATGCATGTGTTAGCTCAGTTCAGCTGACAGAGACAGGCAGCAAAACCTCAGACCTCTCTGTGATACAAATCAGATCAAAACCGAACTTCAAAATCATTTGTAGTGTGAAATTCATGCATTTTAAAATGCAGTAGCATGTTTGGACCCAGTAAATATTAATAGTATAGGTGACATCACCCACAGTTACTGCCTATGCCTGTGAAAAATGCCTATAAAACAGCATCCACTGCCATCATGAAACACTTTGGGAAATCTGCCAGGACCTGATACTGCTGGCTTTCCAGATGGGAAGCAAAACTTGAAGCCAGCTATGTTGGATGACCTTGAACTGAAACTGTGGAAGTTGCTTCCACCTGTGATAGTTGTGTTGGGATGGTTATTTCTGCCATGTAGGTGATACTGAATGGCAGTTTTTTAATATGTAGGGAATAGAAGATATTAAACAGGAAGCACTATTAGGTTGCTTTAGGCAATTACTGTAAACATTGTACTCGTTAGACTTTTTTAATCTGTAAAAATATTATCAATATAACAAAATATTTGCTTAATGTCTGTGTGGTCATTACATTACTAAACTAATGCTATGAAGAAGCCAAATTCACTTCCACATTGACTTTGCAGGATTAAAATTGTCTTTGGACACTCTCACTACACACTATTAGATGACTCCCTCTTGTCCAGAGTGCTTATAACACCTACATCATCCAAATTCTCCATAGATCTATTCATGTTTTTTACACTATTATCTTTGCTTACTTGAAATCCAAGACCTTTTATGTAGATTAGTTTGTTGTAATTTAACTTTGCCCTGGCAATAAACTCATCCCAGTAGTCCCACAGCTTCATTACCTGTCCAGAGTACATCGTTAGTACATCCCTAGTTTAGTTTTTTTTCCTTGCTTCAGATCAGCCTTACTTTCTTTTTACATGCCTTTTTAACCATTTTTTGTTCTTCCAGTTTGCAAAAAAACCATAAATCTCTGGTTTATTGCTGTGACATTGATGCATCCATTGCTAGTAGTAATAGAGGTGAGATAGTCGGTAATGGTCATTTTGTAGGCTATTGGGTATAATGGTAGAATTTCAAACTTAGGGCAAATTCATGGAGAAAAACGTATAATCCGTATTCCTTCTAAGAACAGTAACACATCCACAGAGGTCAGATAAGAGTCTCACCTTTATGTCTCCTGCAGTACACACAGCACATTGGTATTTTAAGTACAAAAAGGAATGTCTGTGGATTGCCTGGCTTTGTGCAACCACTGCAAAGGGAAGCAACACCAAAACTACACAAGAACTGCAGAAGTGAGAGGTTAATTCCTTTGGTGATGATAACCTTAAATAAACCAACTTAGAAACTCTATGTTTTAATTTAAATGAATGCAATAAGTCCAGTAGACAAAAAGTGGGAACAGGAAACAGTCTCTCATTACTGGCTGAACTCAGAAAGTAATACACTACTGCAAAGCCTGTGTACATGGAGTGTTCTGTTCTCAAGTGAGAAAAAGCAGCAATGATTGCTCTCTTTGTGTGAACTAAAAGTTAATTTCAAATTTTAATTAGTTCTTCAACCAGATCCTTTATCTCTGTTTCTAGCATCTCACTAATGTAACATTAGCTATGATTTCTCACTGGCTTAATGCCACATGTGGCAACAGTGCCACACACTGAGCACCACCCTGGGGAAGGGTGAGAGGGAGGAGAGGCTCAGAGATGTAAATAACAGTGGTAAGTTGCTGGTTATATATTGCTAAGCAGGTGTTCTGATTTGTGCTTTCTTGGGTACTTTTGACTCTTTCTTTGCCACTTTTTCATTTGTACTGTATATTAACAATTTTCCCTCATCTAAGGTTAAGCATGGAATTCTCTTAGGACTATTTACTTACAGGTAAAGCATCTGATGCTTTTCTCTGAGTAGACACCTTGTTGTAACTGGAGTGCAAATAAATAACACCAACAAAAACAGATTTTTGTTCATGAATAGAGTTGTTGTCAGTGTTTTCTGATAAGAACCGTCTTTTCATGGAAAGGAGTAATACATCTTTTCTCCCTCACAGTTCCAGAATCTTAACAATACAGTATCACTTACTGTGATTTCCTTCGGGTTTTTTCCCCTGATTGTATCTTGCTCTAGAAACGTAGGATGCACTTCAGGATGCTGTAGAGAAGAAGGCAGTTTTGTGATGATATATATTATTCAATAAATATACGTGTCAGGTTGTCAGCTTCATAAGATAAGGTAAAACACCAAGGGAAACACAGGGAAAACACCAAGTCCAGCTGTGTGAGGGATACCATGGCTGTGCCATGGATACAGCCAGGTGTGGCACATGCTCTTCTGCAAGACAGGATTAAATTGTGGCTGGGACAGTGCATCCCCATTGACCTTCCCCATCCCAAACATGTCTCACCTGCACATATTGGGATTCCTTGAGGAAATAACCAGGAAACTGTAAGGTGGGAAATGGCTCAACATGGTTTTGTAATGAAAGCTGTCAGATGGTCAAAGCTTGAGGCTTCTGAGATTAGGGACAGCATTTCTAGGGGACTGCCATGGATCTGGGAGCCTCAAGGATGTCAGTGTGCCCATTGTAGAACTGGGAACTCCTGGAAGCTCCAGCTCTGGTGAGGGTCTCCCAGCTCTTCACATGGAAGCCTGAAATCCTCAAGAACAAGTTCTTGGACAGAACTGCGTAGTCCTGGACTAGGCACTTTAAGCTAAAAGTATAGAGATCAGCTCTCGAAGAGGAAGGAAAAATGCCTTTGTTCAGTTTGATCTCTCTGCAGACCCATCTCCTTTGCCCTGTTTGACAGCAACAAACCAACCCCAGAGGAAAACATGACATTACACTTTCAGCTGTAAAAATGGTGCATTAAAGTGCTCAGAAAGGAAAAGCATTTTTTTTAGTGGTGTATAATGATAAGCAGATAATTAGCAAAGTATTTAATTAATTGTAGACTTACTACTTGGTAGCTGAGATGTTTATGTCTTAAAAAAGAAAAAATATAAAAGGAGAATTTTCATCATCATCTCTGTTAGACAGATAGGAAAATAATTCTTTAATAGAGAATTTCCTTAAATAGCATTTTCTACATTGAATATATGTTGTGCTTGTCACAAAATGCTGTTAATAGAAAAGGGAGCAGCTTTATTCTTTCATTGTAGTCATTTTCAGTCCAGTAATTTAGCACTGTATTTCCAAATGTAACCTTTAATCCTAAACTGTTTTTCGTGTCCCAGTTCTTAGCTACCTGTGGTCTGGTTTGCATGAGTGGATGGTACAATCAGTCGTGTCCCCTGAGACCATCATAACACATCATGTGTATACAGTATCCACAATTACTGGGGCCCATCCTTTTGCACAGTTGGTCTTCCTACAGGCAAGGATGTTCTGTAATAATGTGCAACTCCTGCCCTGTGGTATTTCACTGGTCTTTCTCACTTGCCTTCTGCTATAACTAGGAGATTATACTGATTTGTAAAGTCCTGATATGGACTTTCAATGTTTAATTTTATACCAGATACCTTTGTATTTTTTTCAGCTTTGATAACAAACGATTGCTCTTCTGGTTTTAAAAATAAGAAAAGGTCAAACATGGAGGCAGATTAAGAAGGAAATTTATAATCAATTCTCCTAGAGACAATACACAGCCAAACCTAGAGTTTCCTCCTTGTGGTGCCTAGTAACAAAAAAGGAAACTATCAGGCAATATAAATGAACCAGGCACAGAAGTTTGCCCTGTGCTTTTACATGCAGTCTTCTGTACACTACTGCAAAAAGGTTAGATGCTCGTGAATTTAAATCTGACTTCTCTATTGTGTGTTTTTAGATGAATTAACATAGTCAGTTTTTACCATGTGGAGAAATATTCCCCTCCACAGGGGGGCATTTTCAGGAAAGCTCCTCTTGTTCCTCTTGCGATTGACAGTCAAACTTCATAGCTGGCAGAGGAGATGGCCAAGCTCAAGAGAATTTAGCAATGTCAGTGAAAATGAAAAACAGACAGCTTCTTTAGACACTGTTCTGAATTTCTGGGAAATATGCCTTAAATATGACCCTCCAGGGACTGAAATTTTCAAGTTATGCCATCTTCAATTCTTTGAAATGACAACTGAATTACAACATTACTTTGCAAGCTGTGGTCCAGCGCTTCCATCCACTGTTCCTCCAGCAGAGAGAATTTTTAACACGAGAAGTTAGACACACGTACTCTAATGGTACAAGTTAATCATAGGACTCTGATTTGTAACCTGACCTGCCAAGCAGGCTGGTCAGCAATCTGTTACCTTCATTGCCAGCTCTTTGTCTTCCAGCCTGAGCAGCACCAGGTGAACTAAATAACAAGGTGATAAACACACATCATAATGACTCAAACAACGTGTTCTATATTCATTAAATGCTGCCTGTGATTTCGCAGATTTAGAATTAGAAGCTTTAAGTAGCTAAGCTGAGTTGACAGGGACAAAATGGAGTCAAATGTAGAAGAAGGGCATCAGATGGGGATCAGTCTCTTCTCCCACAGAACAAGCAACAAGACAAGAGGAAATGGCCTCAAGTTGCACCAGGGGAGGTTTAGATTGGATGTTAGGAAAAATTTCTTGACTGAAAGGGTGATCAGGAATTGGAACAGGCTGCCCAGGGAAGTGGTGAGGCCACCATCCCTGGAAATGTCCAAAAAACATGTAGATGTGGCACTTGGGGACATGGGGAAGTGCTGAGTTAACAGTTGGACTCTATAATCTAAGGGATATTTTCCAGCCTTAACAATTCTATGATTCCATAAACTTATTGTGTTCTTGTATTCCAAAAATACTTTCAGCATTGCAGATTCCCCACAGCTTTGGCAAAGCCTTAAACTCCTGCAGTCCCCAAAGGCAGCCACCACTGGAGTCCCTCAAATCTGCGTCTTGACAACACATCACCATCTCTGTCTCTAGCAAATCTCTTTATTTCTACAGACCTCTCAGTCCCCCGAATTTCTACGTCACTACTGGCTGCTCTTGGCTGGTGTTCAGCATAATTGTTGGTGACACCACCAAGGAGATGATCTTCCTACCTCTGTGTTGAGACCTTCTTCAGACACAACATAATCATGTCAACTTGTGACTTAGCACGACACTTGATTCTTAGGCCATCTCCTCAACTGACACTATCAAAGTCTTCAGAAACTCCAGCAATTACAAGCATTTTACTCCTGGGACAGGAATATATTAAAACAGAACTAAAAATAACCTGAGTGCCTGCGAACCCTCTTGGAAGTGAGGGAAGGAAACCAACAAAACTGCTCTACATTCCTTTTTTAACTTCAAGCCCTTTAATGCAATAACAAAACAAAAGAATCTGACCTCCTCTCACAGTCATGCTAGAGGGATCACAGATCTATTTGTAGCTTTGAAAGTCATTCAGCAAAGGCAGAAGCTCTCTAGACACACTGAACTGCTCTGCTCATCCTGAAATCAATGAAAAAGATACCTGATGCTTATGTAGCTGTTATTAATAGTTCTTACTCTCAAGTATTAATTATTTGTCTGCCTTGTTGGCCGTCTTTTTTTCTTTAGCTGACCATTAAGGTGAGTGTTTAGTGGTTTTCCTACAATCTTTTACTGTAATTTTTGCTATTTTCCTATCCATGTCTCTAGATGGTACCTAGGTCTTACACTGGGTAATAAAATTTGTTTTATTTCCTTGGCTAAAAAGAATTTAGAAGAATTTAGCTGTTAAGGAATAATTTCTGTTGAAGCAAAGCAATTGTTCTGTGTCTGGTACAGAATGTTTCAAGTCCTGCCTCCCATTATCTTCCACAGCCTTTGAGACCTGCCAAGGCACAGCTGAATGGGAGGTCTCCTCCCTGTTTCCATGCCCTGCTCCCCCTCAGTCCAGATGGTGCACAGCAGAGGTGACTCATGCTGTCACCTCACTTGTGGATTATATGGGAATGACAGTGCCCGGAGCATTCTCCTGGTTACTGGACCACAGAAACATGGAATGGGGCTGAGTCACTGTGCCAGATTACTGCAGACTCTTCCGACCCACTTATTTTCCTGTCATTTTGTGACATGTTTAGAAAATCTTTTGCTTAGGCTGTTTATTCATTATGAGTTATTTTATCTTTTTTTTTTTTTTTTGGCAAACAGAGAATGAGCTTTTAGGTTTTGATGATATAACTCGAAATACCAAGAGAGAAGAGAATAATACGTACTTATGTGGTATCTCCAGGCATACAGAGGGTGTTTTGCAATAAGCCATCAACAAAGAGAAAAGCAGAATTGCAGGCAGCGTGTCAGGAATACATGAAAGCACACTGAGAATTCATCCCTAGTTCAATACTATTGCAATTGCTCCAGGAATGGGTTTGGGCTCTTAAGAAGAAAAATGTTTTATCATACTCATAACTCATGTGTTTAAGATTCCTGGGCAGACATTTAAAGCCCAGCTCTGGAGGAAAAAACTGCCATATTGTGACTGCCTTTTGGTGCACTGATGTTTTTTCTACAATGTGAAAAATGATTTCACAGGGACTGGAAAGAGTGTGTTATCTATTCCAGAGAACAGAGCTCAGCAAAGGCTGGCTGTATATTGCAAATTCTATGCAAATGTCTTCAGCAGCTTTGCAGGTGCCGTTCTAGTCCCTTTCCCATGTTGGATCTGTAGGGAAAAGCTGTTGCATTCTGCACAGATCAACAACCTCACTGTGCTGCCTTCCTTTGAGAAAGCACCAGGTACACAGGGAGTGTAACAGTGCTTTTGAATTAGCTGGACAATGGTCTGTGTGACTTCTCCTCCAGCCTGTCTTGCACTGATAGATTTGACTTGTAGGAGAGAACGTGCTGCAAAATCAGAGAAGCTGTTTCTCCAGCTTCTCTGTCGCTTAAGGGACCCAAAGCAGTTTTGTTTCCTCTATTCTGCAGATTGCTGCTGCCCTTAAGATTTCCAAAAGCCCTTTTTACTTCCTAAAGAGGTCTGACAGTTATACAAATATGCTCTCAGTCAAACCCTTATGAGTATCCAGCTTTCCAATGAGAAATCCACTGGGATTTTTTCAGAAGCAGCATTAACTTCTCCTGAGACTCCTGTAACTGCTCACATCCAACCAGAGCTAAGGGGGAAGAGAGGAAGGTTCATAGTACCTGTACAGACTGAATGGCCTTCCAAGAGCTTTCCTTCCAGGAGCTCTTCTTCTTCCCTTTTCTTTGAGGCCAACAAGGTGACTCTTGCCCAGGACAGCAACTGGAGCCCTACATTCAGTATTATTTGCTAGCAGACGTGGCATGTGGTTTATAGTTACAGGCAACTATAGTTCCTGCTTTCGTTAAGTCAGATGGATGAAATCTTAACATGGTCCCATATCTGGTTTGGTGGTTTTTTTTTTTTACTTTTCCACTAATTGGCACCATGGAGTGGATGAAACACAAAGGCTGTTTGACACAGATGGGAAGAAAGATGTCCCATGTGCTTAAGGGGATTGGTACAGATGGCAGGTTTAGTTTTTTTCCGTCATCAAAATGCACTAGCCTACAGAACTGGGGCTCTGGAGAGGTCATCTGGCTTATGACTTTTGGAATTCAGATTGTCACAGAGCTGTTGCAGCCCTTAAGTGCTTTGGCCACATATTTACTTCTCTCCTGTGAATTACAAGGCAGGAACAACACTTAGACCTCAGGAAAAAGGTACTAAGAATATAGGTGGAGAGTACCAGCTCCATGCTCTGCAGTCAAATTACAAAATACAGCCAAAATAATGGGGAGGAAGTGCAACTACAGTTGCAATACAAGGCCACTACCTTTGCCAGAAATTGGGCACAGGGACTGTAGGGACTACTGAACATTAATGATCTTGCTCACTTGGAACATACTGCCAATGATATTTTAAATTGCTGCAAATCCTCGGAGAAGAGCAGTGCCATTAGCTTTTGGGAGTTCCCTAAGGAAGGCAGGGAGCCAAACCGATACAGTAAAATATTTTAATTAGTATCTTTCAGAGCTTCCCAGAATGAAACCAAATCTACTCAATGAAGGAAAAAAAAAAAAATCCTGTCTCTGTCCATCATGGAGAACTCCCTGTTCTCTTGACTAGTTGAGAGTCTGGCCCTTAAATATCATTTGAATACAGCAGTTTAATATTGACCATTTCTTGCCAAGAAACATCATCTTTGCTAACCATGGTTACTTCACTCAAATATATTAACATGACATCCAAACTGCAAGAACATTGAATAGATAAGGAGCTTTGAGGCTTGCTCACATCCCAGCACATTTTGTGTAGTGATTCTCCTGAGAGGATAGTGTTTAATATTGTTAATTGATAAAAGTAATTTCAGTACCATTTAGCATGATGGATCTCAAGAGTAAAACAGGCTTTGCTTGTGATGAGCATGAATAATATGGGGAGCCTAAGTAAGAATAGTAATCAGTAAAATCATCTCTGCCTAAACACATACAGCAGTGAACCAGGCACTAGCTCTGAGGCCAACATGCTGATCTTCCCAATAAAACTGAGTCTTCCAAGACAGATGAATAGTGGGAGAGCAGATCCTCAGTGGAGGTGCCAGGGTATATAAACAAGGAAAAGTGATCAGCAATAAGGATTATTATGAGAGATATTCCACTGTCATATTTTGGGATGAGAGGGGTAAAAAGGCAGCAGGAATAGCTGTCATAGCACAATGAAAGTAAGCAGAGCAGGCAAGACAGAGTTAACCAAAGCAGCAAATAATAAAAGGAACATGTTTTACTAACATGAGCAAAGCAGCTGAAGGACAGCTCCCTGCAGAGACCTGTGTTCTGTGCAGAGGCAACAGGGAGAATAAAAGCTCCCAGGTTGTGATTAAAATCTTATTTGTGCCAGAAACACCTGCTTTTTCCACTCCTTACTTAATTCAATAATTTGGCTGCGTTTATCCTTTGGGTGCTCACTCTCACGTACTCCAGTCCCTCAGCTCTGCTCTCTTGAAACACCACAGTGACAACCCCTGTTCTGATGGCACTTCAGCTGCCTTCAGGTACTCAGGCAACAGGCAAATCCATCCTTCAGGCACAGGACTGGGAAAGAAGAACTCCGAGACCCCTGGGCAAGGGCACTGTTGACGACATCCAAGTTGAGAATGTACAATTGATCCCAAAGGCTGGTTTTCATACTCTGGGTGTGATTTCAAAATGGAATCCCCTCATGCAGCCCTTGGAGCCAACACCTGAGCCTTGGCTGCCAATATGGATGAGACATTAAAATAAAACATTTGCCAGGAAGCTAATGCTGAAGGGTGCTACCTTCCAGGGGGATAATTCAGTATGGCAGCTCTCAGGAGAGGTATCAGTTTCAATTAGAACTGAAGGTGCAGTTTCTGCTAATGTTACAATTTATTTTCTTTTTAAGCTGTCTTCTGTGTCTTAACATTAATGGACTTTCTGCACACATGAAGGATTTGAAACGTTCAACATCAACCATGGAGGACATTCACCCACAGCACAAGACCTCAAAATAGATAAATGCCAAATTATGCTTTTTCTGTTTCTGCAGGATGGATGACATCCAGCTGTGCAAAGACATTATGAACCTTAAGAAAGAGCTGCAGAGTTTGGTAGCAATCCCAGGTAATGGCTATCTCCATCAGTATTAGGATAATACTTGTGTTCCTGACACCAACCCCTCCCGTGCATCACCCACCTCTGCCCCAACAGAATTTCTTCCCACCAAGGTTGAGTTTCATACCTCTTTCCTCTAGTCCTTTCTTTTTCTTCCCATTTTCCTGCCCAGCCTTCAGCTCCTGGCCTCTAAATTTCTTTCCATGCTGTATTTCACTGCTCCCATGGCAGCAACCCTGCAAATATCACTCAAACAAGATGCATATTTCCTTAGTTCTTGCACTCTCTAGGGAACCAAGGGGCACAGAGATTGTTAGAAAAGGCAGTGCTGAGATAACAGATAAAAGGGGGAAGGGAGAGGGATTTATAATCACTACTGTGATTTTTTTTTCCTTGTCACACCTGTAGTTAAATCACTCATAGGAAACAGGTCTACTCTGAATCCACACGTTCTTAGCTGTGTAAGAACTTTTGCCCTGCTTTGCATCCAACAGAAGTGGATTCATAACATTGTTTACTTTTTCTTTCTTTATACTTCTTAGTTACTTATGGGACATATTTTAAATTTTTGATAACACTGTGGGTTCATAATTGGTTTAAATGGAAAGGATTATTATAACCCTAGAAAATACCTATGAATGACACCCCTTGCTTCACCTCTTCAAATCTGCAGGCTCTCCTGGCCCTACTTTTAACTTACAGTTAGGCTTGACCAGTTCTCATTCTTTTGGTGTTCTTGTTGCTTGGGGGTTTTTTTCAGTCTTTTAGAAACTATTTTCCAGTCACAAAGCCTTAAGCAGAGATCCACAAACAGCAGGTTCTCCTTAGCACTTTGCAAACCTCAGCAAACTTAAGAATCAAGTATGTGCAGTTCCAGCAGCAGCATCTTTAGGCAGAATCACAAGAATAGCTTGGTCTTAACAAAGACAAAGCAGCTGCTGGCAGTAACACAGCACTAAGTGCTGACACAGCACTTGCCTAACCTAGAAAAACACCTTCCAGAAATGGGTTAATTCACAGTATCTCCATCATAATTTTGCTCTTAGATACAGGATTTGCATAGAGATCTGCTCTTTGTTTTCAGCAGACACAGGTCAGCCAATTTCAGTAGACATGGAATCAGTCTTTTAGTACACAGAATATGCAGTACTTTCCCACAGTTCAGATTGCATATATTTGGCACAAAGGGTATAATGAGAGAGCACATCTCAACTAGGAAAAGGATAGATTTAAAGGAAGTAGAAAGTAGCTTTTACTCAGAAGTGAAGAGAGCCCTTACTCCATAGACATAAGAGGCAAAGCAAGAAAAAGCAGTGATTTCTGAGCATTCTTTTTTTTCAGATACAAATTCAGCATTAATTACAGGAATTCTCCCTAGGTAACAATTTAGAGGCCTTTAAATCTTCATAGCAGTCAATAACCACCTTCCTTTATCACTTCTAAAAGATAAACCACAGAAAAGATATTCCAGGCAATGAAATCTCAGGTTATATTACAAATGTACAACTCTGAAACTGAGACTAATGAATTCCATTGTCTTAAAAACATATTCAGGGTGCTTTTATCTTGCTTATTAAGGAATGAATTTATTGCAGAAATTCCTAGCAGTAAGCATCCTGAAGCCCATGGTCCAAAACTAAGCTGTATTAAACAATTGTTTTCAAGTGTCTGATCCATTTAGCTGTTTTTAAAGTATCTTATAGCTTAAATCAGCAGACATAACATAGCTCAGATGCATCAGACTGCGGGCAGCTTGCCCTTCTCCCCACAGCTCTTATTGTACTGAATTGTAAAATTTTCTAAACACAGTTCTACTGCTTAAAACCAAAATTCTTTATTTAATGCAAAGTGTCTTCACAGCTAATCAAAATCTTCAGCTTCAGCAAATCTGTGAGCTCGGATTTGCCTCTGGCTTTCTCATCTCTCCTCCACTTACTCAGTTTGAAGATTTCTGCCTTAAATGCACGTGGCCTCATAATCTTAAAAGAACAGCTCTGTAATCCCTAACATTCACAACTCTTAGTTTGTGACAGGCACATCTTTCATGTCACAAATATTGTTGTTTATAGACAACCTAGCCATTACAGACTGGCCAATTAACAAGGATACATATTACTTACTCAGATTTTTGAAGCACAGGGAAAATAAACTTCCATTTATTTTTCCACAGTTTACAGTTGGTGCTATTTGTGTGAATTTGCAGCTCTCCTGCCTTACCAGAGTAGAAAAAACATGTTATAGTCAACAGCCAAAACCTGTCTTGAAATGCAGAGAAATAGTTCCTTTTGGTGTGATCTCATTTCCCCTGAGGTCAGAGAGAGTTTGTACCATGGATTTTAACAAAGCATCCTGGACTGTTTTCTTGCCAAAGCTTTTAAAAAAATTGAAAGCAATGCCTTGCAGGGTAATTTAATGTTAAAAGTAGGTTTGGCAAGCCCCGTGGGGTCTTCAGACCATTAAGCTGATCAGGCTCAACAGCAGCAAGTGGAAGAGAGCAAAGAGGCAGCGACCAGGCTTGCTGGGGTTTGGCCACTCATGTCTGAAGAACCATTGGCTTCAATCAGCAATTCATTCTTGGGCAGCTGCAGTGTCCAAAGTAATAGTCTCTTTTCTCTGTTTTTGACCAGAAAAAGAAAAAACAAAGATGGAGAAACAAAGAGAGGATGAACTGATTCAGAAGATTCATCGGCTGGTACAAAAAAGAGATTTCCTCGTAGATGATGCAGAGGTGGAAAGATTACGGTAAGAACCAGGAGTGAGATTCCACAAGCCTAATACTACACTGCATGGAGTGACAAAATTTATATGAACATTAATGAGAGAGAATTAATTGGTCCTTCAAAACAACTCACCAAGTGAAAAGCCTCCTCCTGGTTCCATAGGAAAATCATTAGAATTAGATTACTCTACTTACAACTACAGTGGGGCTTGGTCTCTTATTTTCCTACCAGAAAGTGTCTGGGCATTTATCATTTAAAAGGAAAGGATTTTGCTGCTACCAGAGAATCCTCCATCTAAAGTCCACCTTTTTTTTTATTATTATTCATATGGTCAGGTTTGATTATTACTATTCCCACCCTACTGGAAGGAAGGGAGGGGGGGGAAAGTCACTCACTAGCACAGCTGTACCTAACCTAAAACACTAAACCATAAGCAACAGAAGGGTCACATCTCAGTAGCTTAGCCCAAACGTGCTGAGAAACTTGTAGCCTTCCTTAAAAGTTCATTTCCAGCTTTTGCTGGAAATCCCAACACCCAAACCCAATGTTTTGTTTAAGACCCAAACACTCTACAAAGTCAGTTTTACTATTACCTCCCCCTCTCTTTCAACAGTAGAGACTCAATCCATTTATCCAAAATGACACACAACACATTTAAATTCTAAGCAAGGAGAGGATAAAAGGAAGCCTTCCAGAGTCCTGCAGCTGATCAAAGAGAGCTGGCCAAAGGCAGCAGCTGACAAGCAGCCTGAGCTAGAAATGCAACCAGGAGCTCTCACTGCGAGTTCCACGTGCACAGCACAGCAGCTCAGCAGCAGCCTGGACACAAAACCTAAGGCTGGGCTCCTGCAAATGTCCTGCTGGGCACTGGGCAGGTGTGATCCATCAGTGTCCACTGACACCTGCACCAGGACCTGAGGCTTTTCTGTAACTCTGATAATAAAATCTGCTTTTCTTCTAAAGCAAGGTTTTCAATCAGCACCCCATTAATGTTTCAGTAACAGCCAGGGAACTAACACAGAAGTTGTCAGTACCTACAATCAGGGCTAACAACACAGTCCTTTTATTTTGGGCCTAATGCTTCAGGCCAGCTTCAGGCAAAGAGAAACATATTTGGGTTTGATAACCACAAAGAGCAGAAGACCATGAAATCCAGTGTTTAGTCTAAGCAGGCCTTTTAACAAACAGCACAAGCACAGCAAGAAGTATCCTCTGCTTCACTTGGGCAGGAAGCACGTGAAGCGCTTGGGAGGCCAACTTAGAAATAGGTGATCCACTACAGCTTCAATCTGCTGACTGGGGAATACAATGAATTCAGTGCTATCAGAGACAAGTAAAGAACCTTGGGGAAAATTCCCTCTCAATTCTACAAGAAGTTTGTTACTGTTTTCATTTAGGTAAATATTTCGCTTTTTAATATGCGGAAAAATTAAGTGTTTCTAAAAAGAATAAAGAAGTTAATTGTTTACTAGTGACCTGATCCTAGCTGCTCTAGCTTTTACTGTCCCATTTACAGAGAAAACTCTCATTTCTGCAACATTCATTTTCCTTCTTTCCACCAGGGAGAAAGAAGAAGACAGAGAGATGGCTGAGTTTCTTCGCACCAAGTTAAAACCCATAGACAAAGCAACACAGTCTCCTACCAGTGAGTTCCTAAACATTAAGAAAAAAACAAGAACAAAACAAAAAACTCCAATGACAAATAGATAAAAGCATTTTCAAAGGCAGTGCTGGGCCAGCCTCTGGCAAAAGCCAGTCACCCATGGCCACTTGCAAATTGCTTTGTATGTTTTAAGTATGCAAAGTATATTTGTGTACACATTGCCATAACCTGCTTTTGTAAGCAACTTAATTTTTGTTAATCATTTTTCCTGTCTGGTTCTGCAAAAATAACTGATAAAAACGTCTTCAGACCTATGCTAGAATATCTGAAGCAAAGTTTGCCTGGTTTACTGCAGGCAAAATGGAAACTAGGGAAAAGACTGCAAGTCTCCACAGCTGACCCAAATTTCTTACATATTACCAGCAGAAACAGGCTTTTCAATCACCTCAACCCAAATCACTTGTAGACAGAATGTCAAACACAGTAGTTTCTGAGAAACTACAGTGGATTACTTGGAAGCTTTTAACTGCAGCTTTCAAACAGAACAGTCACAGCATGAGCCTAAAAGTTCTCAGGTTGATTTTGGCCTGTCTCAAGCTGAGCTCTTAGCAGGGAGGTTGTAAAGTGAGAGTGGTGCCCTTCCTAGAAAGTGACTTTGGTGCCACTCTGCACAGACAAAGATCTTGCTCCAGAGTTTCCAGAGGGACTGGAATGACTGTGAAGTTCAAGGTTGGAAAGAGACATTTTAAGATGCATCGCTAATTATTTACACCCCCTCAGTCATAGGGAGCATGACTAATCTCCCTTGTTATACTTTATTGTCATTGCTTTTAAATGCAGTTTTAGAGATAATGAGTTTCTTTTCACCCCAAAAAATTAAAACCTACCTTTATCTTGTTCTCCTAATTACAA